CCTGTAAAACAACAACAGCCTTTAAAAAACTCATTTTTTTCCGCGCACTGTCACTAACCAGAATTCTCTGCCTGGAGATTTGTTAGACAGTGAAAATGTTCAGTCATTCATGGAAAAACTTAGACACTGGCATCTCACATGCCTTTCACCTTCTATTCACCTTCCTTGTATTATTTCTCAAGGTATTATCATGGTATGCTTGTATTCAGGGCTCTGTATTCTGACTCATTGCTGATTTTCCGCCCTGGTATATGGCGGTTCCTTTTTTCATTTTTTTTTAATATTTTAGATTTTCTATGAGCAGATTCTTGTCGTCATTGCAGTTGTGTTGCTTTCTTGCTTTTTTTCTGTCCATGCACGCGAAAATCGCTATTGTTGTGTAAGTACTGGCGTTTCACTTTTTCGCAATGGTGTAGCTACGCGTGCTATGTTTTCTTTTTGTTGCATTTCTCTATATTACCTTCTTTGTATCGCCCACACCTCTAAGACCTCATGTGAGAGGCTGGCAGTTTTTCCAAAATAAAATAAATAAATACGGACACTCTCCGCTGGATTTTGCCGCCGGCGTCGACGTTACTGTCACTAGCTCACCATATATGTATATGTATCGATACATATGTAAACGCAAAAAAAAATAATAACCGAGGAAAAGGCTCCGGCGCCCGGAATCGACATAGACCACCGAGTCATGAATGCGAGGAGTTATACCCCTGTCACACGGCCACCACTAAACTCCGTTGAACACCGTCAACGTAAATCTCCCCTAGGTGGTTCGACGGAGAAGGAGTTGTGGCAGTGCTACACGGCAATGAAAAGGTGGTAACAGTTGGCGCGAGGGGTCTCAGCTGGAGCTGTTTGATTTTCGGAAAAGTATTCTAATTTCGTCTCTATTTATTTTTTTGTGAATCCTCGTTCTGGGGTTCTAACAAAAAACACTAATAAGGAGGTAAGAGGCTAACAAACCATAAAAATATTTTCAAAGAAAAACGAATTCGCTAAATGTAGCGATGCTGCTAGTGACGCTGGCAGCATTGTGCTTTTAGTTGTTTTGTTGCCTGTGTTTATGTTTGTGTACGAAAGTTCTTGTGCTTCCTTGCCTCGTGAGTGCACATTTTGTGTTCTTCAGCGATGAGTGACACAGCGACGATCACAACCACACGCATGGACGAAATATTTTTCAATAGCGCCAGCCGGCCCGACTCGCGAGGCACCACGTGCGAGGCACGGAGTGTAGAGCATCGGTGTTGAGAGTAAGTGAACTCTGGCGGGCGTAAATATATGTAAACAAACACACGTTGTGAATGAGTACTACAACGAAAGAACGTTTAAGATTGCCAAAATGTATTATTCTTTTACTGCGGCCACTTAGTGCTCGAAATTTTTCTCTGACCTCTAGACTGCTGGGGACGAGAGTACCTCGTTTCGCTGCGAAGGGAGATCGTTGAACGTCCTTTGCGAAACGCTCCGTTTACGTTCGTTTGGGTAAGGGTGGCCGTGTGACACGGACCGCATCTTCGTTGTCGTAAGGACGAGGGAGTTAAAAGGTCTTCGCGGGTGCCCGTGTGACAGGGGTATTAACCACTAAACCTCCGAGGAGCCCCTCGTTCAGCATCCAAACAGCAAGCTATTTTTATCTACCACTTATCGCTGTTTATGGAATCTCAGGAGGGGGTGAGGGACCTATCGCGTTTTCAGCATTATCAGCAAGATGGGGCAATGAGCGCGCGCTCTCATCTTCCACTCGTACTTTGGCCCGCGGAGAGGTGGGGAGTGGACGCTCGCTCGCGCGCCCTTATTTCGCAGTAGGGAGGATCGTACGTGTTGGATGGCGTTGGGCTTTCACTGGAACGATTATGTTGTCATTGCCGGGTGCACAAAGGTCACTGCAATCGTTGCACAGTCTCCGTTCACGAAAAGGGTGCGCTTTTCAGACACAGCGGAGTAACAACTGAGACGCTTATTCGCATTCATCTGTACTTGTGAGTATTCGCATTCATCTGTACCTGTGAGAAACGCGGGGCACGTTTCGATTTGCTTGCCAATGTGCGTGTGACCTTCCAATTTGTTGCTATCGTGTTCATTTATTCACCTTTGCGTCAAGGCTGTGACTTTTTTTCGCAGCGCGACAAAAATTGCTCTTATGTGCGAGGGGAAAGATATGACGAACGCGACAGGCGTGCCAGATGAAAGACGTGTTTTGGGAACGTCATTAAGTGACCTGATGTGTGCTCTACAACTAATCACAAGCTGCACCTGTCAACCAAGTTGTCGTCTGACGGCGTTTTTCGTCTACTTCGATGAGAGCATCGGCGGTAGTTTCATCTACGTGAGGCAATTATTCCCAGGTCAAGTGATCGCTGCCTCGCGCAAAATACTTATCAGTGGCTCGCTCCACCTTTATTAGATATTTTCACCCTTAGATAAACGGCTGTTAACTGTCAAAGGGACGAATTCAGCCAAAGGTCTCTTGAGAATTGCGAGGGGTCGCACATTTTTTATGTGATTTAAAATTATTGAAGCCATTTCATCCCGACTACTTGACATAATAAACAGTTATAATATACCGGGCTAAGTGGTGTAGCTCGCTTACCTTGATAGCGGGATCGAAGTGCGCATGCGCTGATACGTACGTTACACTTGTCGCTTAACATACGCGTGTTATTTTTCAGATATAACGTTACCGTGTTAGCGTGGTGTACGTAAACATGGCGACGCTTTCGGATGCACGCTTCGAAGTGATTTTAGCGTAATTCTTGAAAGATTCACTTTGATCGCAGCAAACGACCGTTTAAAATGGCTTCACTTGCCTTCAGTTAGCTTCGACGACCGAGTATTACGGATAAGTTAGCGTAATTTTCGAGATAGCTTACTATTTCGAACGTCTCTAGGCCTATCTAGAAGATCGATGTAAAGATATTGGCATCAGAAATTTTTTCGCGTTTGGTGCGTGGTTCATATTTCATAGCTTTTATTATTACTGAAATAAACTTGTAACAATGCTTCGCATGGTGACACAGGCAAGCATTTTCGTTTTCTTTTCTTTTTCACAGTTCTTTGACTTATCAACCCTACGATAGGTGGTGCCAACATCCTGGCTGTGGCACGTAAACCACGTAAACACAATACCACTAAACTATAAGACGCTGTCCGCAACAAACGTTTGCTGCACGGTAACGAAATTCTCTTAACCTCCGCCATCACGCTAATGGTAAACCGTAACTGTCTATTAACGCGGCTCACATTGCTTTTCAAACAGGGAATGCGGAAAAGATTGATTTATTTCGAGTTTCATGCGTAATCACGCACTCTCCTAATACGCTTTGGTTTGCAAAGTACGTGCCCGTTCGAAAATCGTCCCAAAGTACATCGACAACTGTATTTGAGACATCGTGCCCACAGGACAGTTAGAGCCAATCGAAGTACACGAGAGTGCAACCACAGAAAGAGGTTTGAACGGTTAAGTGAAAAGTTGCGCTCACTTTTATTTCCAATGGCGTGCAGGTGATGTCCTCGTATTAACACTTTAGGTAGTAATTTGCACCAGTGTGGCAAACATCATGAGTTGTACTCCTAATTGGATGATGTGGGACACAACACAACATAACAAGTAAAGTGGACCATATACCGTGCCACATTCGAATTCACGGACCATTCACGTAACACATTGGTTTTCATACAAACGCAAGTTTTTTCATACACAATTCACGCTATTGACGCCCAATAGAATTGTTTAAGAACTGCAACTCCAAACTCATTGGACGACGGTGGTTTTCAATACTGTCCATTGCGTACGTTACAACAAATGAAACTCGAGGCGCCGAAATAAAAAAAAAAACGCACCAGCAGTCATCAAGAAGCCATACATGACAGTGAAATAACTCAAAACCAGCCACAACACTCAGGTATCCTGCCGTCGCTGCAGGTTGTTAGCAGCAACAATGTTCGTAAGAGTGGTCCACACCACTCTTAAGATTGTTTTTTGTAGCCACGCTGTTTTCACCCAAAATCTTGCTTTGTGAATCCACTTACGAGCGTCTTTTCGGTAACATAAGCAAACACAACAACTGCATCTTCATCGCGGACATGTACGTGAGCAGTCGCAGCGCGCTTTATTGCAGCGGCCAATGTGGCAACAATGGCCTCTTACTACGTTTTTTTTTTCGCTTTGTGAATTGACTTCCGCAACAAAGTTTCTCTTACGCGAAATTTGCTCGTTAGTGAGTTTTGGGAATACAGCCCCACTATTTTAAGTAGCTCAGCAAACTGGTCCAAGTCCTCCACCTATTTTTGTTGATGGTTATCGCGACAAGCCAGAAAAAGGAGCCACATTTTTTTTTGCAGACTTCGATATTCAAACAAATTATTGGTAAGCCGTCTGTTCAGAGACAAAATTTGTCACAGCATTTCTTGCAAGCACCGGAGCTCGTGCTGCAGTCAGCTTAATGTCCGCTTTTCGGGACCACTTCTCTGAGCGAATGCGATGAAAGTTGGAGCTTTGCAGACATATAAAGAAATCAGCTTGAGCAAGGTAGTTGTAACTGGAGGTAATGGGAGATACCTAAATCGGTATTGTGGATATAGATACGAAGCTGATGATGGTGATGCAGAAATAAGCTGTCGACAATAGCGTAAATTTATGCAAAAATAATTACTGGCATGCTTCGTCATACGATTTAATATTCACACAAGGCGAAAGTGACATGAGTATTTCTTCTTTAATGAAACTTAGTAAAAGCAAACAATTTGCAGTTTTTAGTGGAAACACGTGTTGTTATTTCTCGTGAGCGACTTTCTCTTGAGCCCTACATACGATGCCTTAGAAAAAGCTTTAATTCAAAGGGTTTACATGGTAGGAATTGCGCTATGTGAATACTTAACTGCTCCACTCTCTGCATTATCAATTTAAATTAACGTTCTCTCGTTTTAGTTGTCTCATTACTATGCAACGTTTAAAACTCGTCGCAGTGAGCGAAAACGGTAGATTTGTGCTCTTGGTGCAGGGACCCACGGCCGCTATGACTGCTTCGACTCGGCGACGTACACGGAACACGGCCGTCCATTCCTCATCAGCTACGGCAGTGGCAGTGTCGTGGGAAAAATCAGCCGTGACGTAGTGGCACTGGGAGAGTACCGAGTGCGGGACCAGTACTTCGGCGAAGCCTGGACAATGATCGGTGACCTGTTCATTTCCTCCAAGTTCGATGGCGTGCTGGGCCTAGGCTACCCGAACATTGCGATGATGCCCGGCCTGCCACTGTTCGACAACATGATGGAGCAAGGTGTCGTGGCACAACCCCTTTTTTCAGTTTACATCAAGAGGAACGCGAGCAGTAATGATGGTGGCGAAATTCTCTTCGGTGCCATAGACAACGACCACTACGAGGGGAACATCAGCTACGTGCCCGTCAATGTGAAGGGATACTGGCAGTTTGACATGGATGGGTAGGTCAGAATGGCCCATTTTGCATCAGTCATTCATGCTGATTTTCATTTTAGAGTGATTCAGCTTGCCTCTTTCATTGATATTCTGCCATGCCACGAAAATTGTGCAACGTTTTAACTATATAAGCAGCATCACGAGCGCCAGTGCGCTCCAAAAGCAGACATGAGTTCCTACTGCCTTTAGAAAGCCCCCATTCCCACAATGTAGTTTAGATAGATATTGTATCATACGTGACCTTTTTTTTTTGGTGCACCAGGAGCACTCTGAAATGGACAGTTACTAATGTCATCAGTCTAAACATCAGTCTTAAAGCAACAGCTCTTTGTCTCGTCAATATTTTCGCTTTGAAGAAATAAGCTTGGTGGATATTGGTGGTAATGGTGCTTAAAACGCTTGATTGAATTTCACAGGCTACAGTGCAGGGTTTGGAAAAGTTAGTTCAAAGAAAATGTTGGGCAGTCTCATTAGTAGTGACACAATGGTCGTTGCAGTAGAAGTTCAATCTGCTGGTCGACTGAGATTGCAAGGCGTATTGCTGAAAAAATGTAGCTGTACTTGATAACATTGATACGCTCGTTTTATGTGAATGGCTAGAGCAGTGAAGTTTCCGTTGCAGGGAGCTCTGGGCAGACTCATATGTTATAGTATTTCTTAGCATAAAGATGCAAGCGGCGTGCTTAACGGTGACCAGCTTCATAACACAAAGAGCGCTTCTTTTATTGGCAACATGAATTCCCAGTGATTGCGTAGACAGAAGGACACAGTTCAAATTATAACTGAATATAAACTGTGCAACATATTGCTAGATAGGTCACACTAGAACAATAATGCATGTTTCATTACTAAAGCAGTATTTCAGTTTCATACATAGCGTGGTAAAAATAACGCCCCCTAGGCTTCTTTCCCTTGGCACTAATATGTGTAGCTTTCGTAATGTTATCTAAACAAGCACCCATAATTTCATTTCTCTTATGTCTGTATTACATGATGTATAAAGCAGTATACACAAAACACCCAAACTTTGGCCAGCTGATGGAGAAGACAGGTGAAAAATAACCACGCTGCTGGTCATACTTCATACGAATTATGACTGAACAATTATAAAAACTATATACAAACCGAGAACTCAACAAAAGAGTGCAAAAAAAAATAATAAATTGAAGAAGTCGATTAGCTGGTTTATAGAGTTTAAAGTCCTAAAGTGCCTCAGGCTAGAACAAATGAAAAAACAACCACAAGAAAATATTTGTAAAGATTTAGAAGAATTCTGTAAAACAAAATGAGAAAACGAACTTACATAAGACAAACTTGCGGGCATGGAGCCTTTCTTCAAAACTAGCAGTCAAGAAACCTAATCTGCTTGTAGAAAAGATCGACAAGGGGAGCACTGACGCACGGTGCTTCCCTCTTGAGAACGATGTATGTTTCTCGTATTTCTCGCACATGCTGCTCCCGGTACGTAGTACCAGGAGTACCAAAGTTCATCAGACGTTAACGAATAGCCACAGATGCTTCGATCGATCACATTTCTAACTGACGTCTCTGAATAAATTGCCATGCTTCTGAAATCTGTCACTGATAAACATAACGCTTTGTCACAAAAGGTAAGATTTTCCCGCATGTTAACAGAATGTAATCAACAATATTATTCTTAACACTCTGTGAATAGCTGCTCACATTATCACCACAGTAAAAACTACTTGCGGTTTCCACGTCCACCTCCTCACACTAACATAAAAAAATAAAGTGATTCCGCACGGGAGATAAAAATCGCCCGTCACTCTATGTTTCAGCGGTCTTCTTGAGGCTGTCTGATAAATCATGAAGGTAACAAATGGAAGCCTTTTGTGAGCATGACTGATTGCTCCCTGGGCGTTTTGCTGGTGCCCTCTTGAAGATTGATGAAGAAGGGCTCAAGACAAGCTGTCCAAGAGCTCATTTGCAAAAACTGCAAAGTTCAAGAATGACACTCCGGTTATTAAGCGCTTCTACGACTATTTTTTATCTGCTTTGATATGCGGAAGCCCGAGACACTTGAAAGTATACTTGGTTCCCTTTTTTTCCCTTATACAACTTATACAACTTAGAATTTAAAAAAAAACCCAGTAAGCGCATTGTTCGCTCGCTTTACCCGAAGCCCGGTCGTCTGAACTATTTCAACATGAGTAAGATTGCTATTCGGGATTACCTTTATACACACACACATCTGCATTATTTGCTGATCAAATTATGCAAGGCTGTGCTAACTTGTTTGTTATTCGCGACATCTGCAAAAATCGTAGTAAACACACAGCTATGGCCACTGTCTTTCTCGATGGAAAAGTAGCTGTATTTCTGAACCACGTACGTGCACCAATTTTATGTATGGCCGCAAGCATTATATTTGTATTTGCAAATTTGCAAATAACCGGTGCTCCTATGACTGCGTTAGAGATATATGTTCACTACTACAATACGCCTCTTTTCTCTGCTATGAACAGGAACATATCTCCTCATCTCTCTCCTTTCATAAATCTCTATTCCAGCCAGTGTTACACGCCATGTTTTTCCCACCTCTCATGCACAAAGCGACCGTTGACGAAATGCACAGGATCGAGTAATTTTTGATCACAATAGATAAAGGAGATAAAAAACAATAAAAGCTCGATATAGATGACTCAGTCTAGGTCAAGTATAAAATAATCTAGAAGTGTAATGGGCGCAGCATGGTACCGCACATGTCAAGGACTGATTTTGACGGTAGTAATAGACAGCGAAGAACACGGTCCTTGCCTGATATCGTAAAATAATTTTCTGAGATCTGTATATGAAACAGGCGCCCCCAGAAACCAAACTTTATGCATACAAAGCAGTAATCAGGCCTAAGTTAGAATGTTTATGCTTTCTCTCTCTCAGATCCTCACATGAGCTACAATATTTACGCCCTTGAATTGGTTTAGAGCATTGCTGTTAGAATTTTTTCTAAATTTTGTAGCACCGAATCGCCAACAACTGTCTTGGAAACTCATGGTCTACAAAATTTGAAAGTACGATGAAAATTACTCAGGCTATATTTTTTTCTCTTTTAAAACAACAAAATCTCACTTCAACCTGCATCATATCTATATACGACCGTTAGCAACAAGGCAAACCAGATATAATCTCTCTGAATCTTTAGGTACATATCAAGAAACTAACACCTTCAAGTTTTTCCCCCTCGCACAATTATCAAATGGAATGCACTGTCATTATCATTGATTCAGTTGAATTGATAAACCTCTTTACATTACAATGTATGACGTTGAAAGTGAAATGTATGCATCTAAGTGTTTATTTTTGAACCTTTTCAATTTATTTGTTTTAATTTGTGATTTCCGCTCCTCCTGCGTGGGCCCATGTGGCCTGCCGTATGTTGTAAATAAATAAATAAACAAATACATAAATAAAAATATATAAATAAAAATATATAAATACTATAGCGGCATCAGGCACACCAGAAGAATGCAGTTTCCTGGCGAAAATTTACTTGCTGCGAAGAATCGAATGTGCCAGTCACTATTTAGGAGGTTCGTGGCACTTATAAAAAAGGTTTGTTACATAAGGTATGTATGGACAAAAATGGCTGCTTAACTACAGAAGTTGACTTTGTGTGAAGATACATTATTCTGATGATACGTTACCACTTTAGATCGCACACGATAGCCTGCACTCCTGTGTTCATTCGTTTGTAACTATAATTGCACTTGAATACATTACTAAGCGTAGTCGTTAGGCTTCCTTCAGCAATACTCTTCATAAGACTGGCAATATGTGAAACTTGGAAAACTTGATATCAGGTAAATGCTCATTGAGCATGAAGATAGCTTGTTTCATTAAAGGGACGAACATAGGTGCCTTAATGGAAGCAAAATTCTTCATTTAGTTACTGGTGTTCATTGCAAAAGTGGCCTAAAGTCACTAAAGAAGGGGTATATAGAAGTATCTATAGTGGACCATCGCAGTAAATTATGCTGCAATCTGTGAAACGATATTGCGCTGTTTGTGTTAGTTTGCAAGGATATAATCAACGAAATAGTGTGATGTTTCATGACATATATAACATGTAGCATAACTGTAAACTGTGCGCTGAAGCGTGCTATTTGATGGATTTAAAAACATTATAAACATGCCCTCAATACCGATAGGCAATTTTGTAAAACTCGAGGTTCCATTTTGAAATTAAAATTTTGATCTATTCCTGACATCCTTTCAACATTGCTTAACACACTCCACAAAAAAGTACCTCTCCTTACACACACACACACACACACACACACACACACACACACGCACACACACACACACACACACACACACAACACACACACACACACACCACACACACACACACACACACACACACACACACACACACACACACCACACACACACACACACACACCTAACCTGCGACCATCGAATAACGCGTTAGATGCTCGAACGCGTTGTACAAAGGTCACAGGTTCGGTTCTTGCCCACGGCAAGTCATCTTTTCACCCACTTTTCTTTCTTCACATTTACATTACAATTTGGTCTAATAGCCTCCCCCTATACTTTCCTTGGCATTATTGTCTGTTAGATCTCATTAATATAGTGTCAAAACACGGAAAAACGAGCCCTTAACTATCCAGTGCTTTTCCCTATATATATATATATATATATATATATATATATATATATATATATATATATATATATATATATATATATATATATATATATATATATATATATATATATATATATATACATACCGGCCTTAACACGTCGAAGTAAGCGGGGTGCTTGAACGTTGGTTGTGTGCCAAATACCTTCTTTTCTACACTATCAGACTCAGAGTCTGCGTGATACTTCCTATAGCTCTTATATGTATTAAAAAGCGATGCATCTGTTTTGTAAAATGGTTACAATGCTTGTTAATTTTCTCGCTTCCCAGCGTTCAAGTTGGATATGACAGCAGTTTCTGCCATGGTGGTTGCCAGGCTATTGCCGACACAGGCACCAGCGCGATAACTGGGCCAGTGGAAGAGATCAGACGGCTGAACGAAATTATTGGTGCCACACGGGCTTCGTACGATTTGGTATGTGAACCTTTATTCTTTGCCAATACTACTTCAAAGGTAGCAGTAAGGGTGTATCTATGTGAAATTTGTGGGTTTGTTTCAAGTAAATTTCACTTACATGGTATGTTGCTAATGGAGAATCAGCGACAAAACCTTGGACCACGATGAGTTGCTCTTTCAGTGAATGTCAGAGTCGTAGTGAGAGTTTAGAACTCTGTGGGCAAAGAATTCTGCTAATTCATCCCAAATAAAAGTTTATCCAATAAAATAAAAGTTTATCCAATCCAATCCAATCTCGATTTAAGGAAGAGTGGGATATCTTAGCAGTCGTTTTCAGAAAATATTGATCACGCCTAACTGCCGCCGGGTACTTGTTATCACCGTGCCGGTTCTCTTGTTATCGCAACACTTACAGACAGTAGCGAGAGAGATAAAGTAAAAGAGTGAGATAGGGAGGGTTGCCTTTTATGTGAAGCACGGAGGAAGGAACGATGCGAAAATACGCTTTCTGGTCTGCTACAGATCGGTGTGTAGAATGGCAGGTGCATAGAATCAAGACAGTAATGAAGAGGGAAGGGGGAATCATGAAGCAAAAAATGCCCATAAATTTTCAAAACGCAGTTCTGCGCAATATACGCGGCAAGAGTCCGCACTTATGAAGTACAAAAATTCATGCACTTTAGCTGCTCCTTTTCACACCAGAAAAGTTTCATGTGTTTTTTTCCGAACTTTCTTTTCTTTGAGTTGCTCCATCAACCAAACCATAACGCATGTCAGCGTAGTGCGTCATTAGAAATTTTAAGGTGGGCTAGTGCAGATCAACCCACTGACATTTTTTTAATGCCCGATGCCGGCATCACCTTTGATTTTTAACTTATACGGTATTTGTGAATATTATCATTACTACTTTCCCTGTTACCGACGCTTCCTAGTATTTGTAGTATATTGCAGCCCCCAAAAGCTCCTATGTTTCATTGTTCCAGCTTTCCACCTCACCCCGATTATATTGCTCAATGTGCCAGCCCATCGTTTTTTTTTTCATTTATACATACATCCGGCCATTGCCTAGTATTTGACTATGTGTATGATCTGTTGCTGCATTGATACTACATCAATGTTCATATTTTCAATAAATATTACAACACTTGGATTCTCAGAGTTAAATTTATGGCGTACGCAGAGATATGCGTACATCCTTGCATTGCCCGTATAACTAATCCGTTCCCGTGTATAAGTATATCGACCTTCTGCCATAACATTTGCTCGTTACTGATCGAAGACAAGCTCCGACCTAAATTGTTTCTAACCTTACGTAATCAGAATCTAATTGTTTACCTATCATATTTCTATGCATCTAATTAAAGTGTGAACACAAATGGAGGGGAATAGCATCATTGTTTTACTGCCCGACAAATTTTCACTAAATCTTTGCAACCTTGGTCTTCTGATGAGATTTGTGCTCCGTTGTGTATACACGACACCCTTGTTGGTTCTCTTAGGGAGTCACATATACCCCCCCCCCCCCATTTTTTTAGAAATATCCCCCCTCAAGTCGTCGTCCCCCCGCCATGGTGGTTTAGTTGCTAAGGTACCTGGCTTCATTCCCTTTTCACATGGCTATAAACTGTCTACATTGTCATAACCTTTTGTAATATTTGTACAAATGCCATCTATCAAGGAGCACTCTGAACTATTGAAATTTTAAGTGCGAAGCATTTCAAATGCAAACCAAATGCAGTTTTAGCGTTTCTATTTTTAAATGTAGCCGCTTACGTCAGGGTGTTCTCGTGGTCGCCTCCTTAGTATGGTCCAAAACGAAATTGTATACTACACCATTGTTCGTCACTTTATTAAATTTTATAATCCTTGATTTTTCAGAGCTAAAATTATGACGTACGCAGAGATATGCGCACAGCATATGCCTGAGGGTATGACGAATATGACGCTGAAGTCATCACATGAATAGCGGGACAGGCCTGTCAAGTATGCTTATGCACCAGAAACATTTTCCCCCAGTTACATGTGCCACATTCCTGTATACCACGGGTGGCGTTAAGCGGGTATACATCACAGGTGATTCACAGTTTATATCTACCTAGGAAAGTTGAGAAGGAACATTGCTAATTTTAACACAAGAACTCTAATGAGCCCATGTAACCCAAAATGCGGCAGTGACGGTGCTGGTGGAAACTAAGAATTCCAGAGAAATGCAAAGAATAAAAAGTGGGATCCGAGCAGGAATCGATTTTAGACATTTAGTGTGGCTGTCAAGTATTATATAACAAGGCTACACCGGCTTTTGAAATCTCCCTGAAAAGAAGCTTCATGAAGTAGTCACGTTGTCGGAAAGAAAATGGTGAATTCAGTGCTGGTGCCCACATTTATACCAAAGTACGAAACCTTACGTACACGCTCGTATGATTCAGCAAGCTACATTTAAGTGCTGCTTAACCTCGTTGGGATACACTAACTAATGCTACGTATGACACACTCCGTATCACATCCGAGAGCACACTTTCTTCCAATAAAAATGATGTCTGTGCTCTATAGCGAACGCCGACGTTACATGATACCATGAGCTACCTTTTAAGCGTTATTTTAATCGAATTCAGTGTTTACTGAGCACACGACACTCACAAAACTACATTTACACAACCACCACGACGTATCTCGTAGCGTATGGCTCGGAAAAACTGCCGCATAAACGCGTAGTCGCTAACTGGTTCGCATCAAAGCCATTCCGACGATGCGGGGATGTGCCGAATTTTTCCCGCTGTACGTTTTTACGAATATACAATCTAGGCGTCTACAAGGTTTGAAGCTATACTGTAGTTTCTCATGAATATTATCTTTTACACGTACTCTAGAGCTCGAATAACTGCCATAGCTAGGGGAGTGGGGGAGGTTGACTCCACGAAGTTTTTCAATTTGACATTCGTACATACATACAAGTACAAGCAGACGGATGTATATAAATGGCAGTTCCCCTTCCTCCACCACCTCTGGCCTGAAAATTCTGGTTACGCCCTCGAATGTTTTCACTGTCAGTGCATGAAAGGTAATTTTATTGCAGAAAAACGGCACTCCTTCGCACGTCTGACAACAAAAATGCTCTGGTATTATCTGATATTTGGGCTCCTATCTCTTTTTTGTCGTAATAAGTTAATTTTTCCATGAGCCTGATGAACTAGTGATAATTTTTAAATATTTTTTGACTGAATGCTGAGAAGATTAATTTACCTGCATGACCAATGCATTCAGCGTAGGGTGAAGTAATATGACAAACAGGGCAAAACGCGACGTTTTGACTTTTCCGGCCTTTCTAGCTAGTACAAAAGGTACTTTTTTTTCTTTTTTCCAGCAATAAGTGCTCGTTCTTGTTTACCTTTTTATGGGTAAAAATTTATCATTACTCTCAGTGTTCGTGCGGGAACATTACGCGGCTGCTGTCAGTGTGTTAATGACCCGTCAAAAAGGGGTGAAAATCTGCTTGGCTAAATTTTCGTATCCGTGCATGAGGCTACTCCTGCGTCAGTACAGCAAGGTAAATAATTTTTTTGTTAATTGAGAGTAGACGTTACACAGTACAAAAAGTTTTGTTAATCTGGTGCCCGTGGGCAAATCAAAAAAGCTTTTCAATTCTAGCATGTGAGAGAGGCAAAACACGACAAAAAGGCATCAAATTGCCTTGTAGAATGTCTTATTGGCTTACACATGAGCTTACACTCAATATATACTATATTTATTTGTTTCTGATGATTTGAAAATACAAGATAATATCATATAGAGCTTTCTGAGAGGAAAATGACATGAAAAATCACTGATTGCCGTTCAAGACACGACCGTCTTCATTCAGCCTGCATCGAGGTTTTTCCGTGTTCCCATGGATGCTCTCAAGAGACGCATAAAAAGATGGTGGAATCTGTGAGTCAAGTCATTTATAAACACATCTTGGGATTGGCTTTTAACGACGTTTCTTCATGATTCTAACTGAAAAAAAAAACAAGTATGAGAAAATCTGAATCTAGCAAAGTTTAAATTCATTGCCTCACAAAGCCCGGCGAACGAAGTTTAAAGTCACAAAATGCCTGAGCAGTTCAGCATCAAAACGGCACAAAGAAGAGAAGAAGATACGTCAAAACATATATAGCCTCCAATCGTTGAGTAATCTAATGAGCTGCAAGCGTTCAACAAAAGACAGCATTAGCACGCAGAAAGACGGGTGATGTTTGATCTGCAAGGAACGTCGGAGCAACAAAACACACGTTCTGTCTAGACTTAATGCGCCGAGTCCAACAACTGAAATTCTTGAGACTTCGTAAAAGCCACCAGAGTGAATTTGAAGTCTTTCTAGTGTGAAACCTGAAGGAATTTTTTTTTTTTCCAACTGTCTTGTTTTGCCGCACACAGCGTCTCGTTTTGCCCCGCAGGTTTGGGCAAAAGGAGACATATGGAGAATTTCTATTTATTTTTAACCTAGTGGTTTGAACGGTGGCAGCATGACAACATTTATGTGGCACATACCTTGTACCCAAAAGAAAGTTTTTGCATTGATGTTTAATTCTAAGGAGTGAAATACAAAATATGCCCTATTTAAAAATTTTGTCGGATTGAACCACATTATGCCCTAAAACGTGTTATGATGTGATGAGGTATGGTATAAGTTAATGGTGGGTTGATATGCCAGTCGCTGGGACCGATTAGACCGAGAATGTTGAGAGTATAGAAACCCACTTTCATGAATTTGCGAATACATATGACGTCACGGAAATGAACGAACGTGATTGGCAGCACATATATGCAAAATTATCTTACTGCTGAACAACGCACGCTGACTGAGGTTGCCATGAACTAAAAGTTCAGCCCATTTGTAAATATTAGGTTGCCACCAACAATAGAGAGAAAGAGAGAAAGAAAAGGTATAGGAAAGACAAAAATGTTAACCAGAGAAAGCCTACAAAGCGATAACGAAAGCGATAACGGCATACTACATCCCAACTATTCTCCGACAGGAAAAC